AAGATAGTAGGAAGGAAAAATGAAGGGGGGGAAATCAGAGGGGGAGACGAACCATGAGAGACTATGGACTCTGAAAAACAAACAGGGTTCTAGAGGGGAGGTGGGTGGGAGGATGGGTTAGCCTGGTGATGGGTATTAAAGAGGGCACGAACTGCATGGAGAACTGGGTGTTATGCACAAACAATGAATCATGGAACACTACATCAAAAACTAATGATGTACTGTATGGTGACTAATATAACATAATAAAATAAAATTAATTAAAAAAAGAAAAAGCATTTATTGTCCACATGAACATTTTTAGAGCATGTAAATTATCAAAATGCAGTGAAAACCATCCTCTTCAATGTGATCTGAACAAGCAGTTTATCGATTTATGAGAGAAGAAAAGCTAGATAAGACAGGAAATCATGTCTATTCTGTTAACATCCATTAGGCACACTCGCTGCCAATCTGCAGGAAAGCAAAGGCCCTTCTTTAAGCATATGTCTGAGGACAGGTCTGCAGTTTTTCTTGCATAAACTACACCCATGGGAGTATGATCTCTAGTATTGATTTCTTTAGGGAACAAAACTTAAAAATACTTGCAAAGTGATGTGAGGACGTATTCTGGATTTAAAATTTTTCCCTCTATTTTTACAATTGTCTCATACTCTGTTTTTTTAAGACTCACCTTTATCAGGGTGTCTGGCTGGCTTGGTTGGTGGGGGGATGTGACTCTTGATCTTGGGATTGTGAGTTTGAGCCCCATGTCAGGTGTAGAGATTACTTAAAAAAATAGTCTTAAAAAAAAAAAGACTCACCTTTATCAACCCTTTCCAAAGCCTTTAATTCTTTGTTTTCAAAATCATGTTCCATCATTTCATATGTAATTAATCTATTAAAAGTACAATCAGAATATATACTTTTGGAAAGTAGTCAACAACTCCTGGCGAACATACAACTCACTTACTTGATGGGAATGGGAGTTGGGGTAGTGATGGAGGGAATGTGCCTGAGTAGCCTGTTGGCCATGAAGGTCAGGTGTCGGTTGCATCAGTGTGGTTTACAGGAGACTGGAGAGAGAGACGAATCTGCCAGTCACTTAGACGGAGGGTGATAAAAGACAGCTTCCACTGCACAGCAGTAAGGGCAGCCTCTGGGAAGCCAAGTCACTTTCCCCCCACTCCAGTGTCTTTTTGATGGTGGGGCAGGAACGAGAGAGCTTGCAGTAGTAGCTGCAGTTTGAGGAAAACCGGCCACCTCTTTACAGTAAAAGCTAAGCCTTTTCAACTGGGTTTGGCAATCAGTAGCTTGAGATACAATGCTGTGTAAATGCATCTACCTTAGGCCAAGTATTTCCATAAACCCAGAGTTCCATGCCAGGCTGGCTTACTAACCTCACTTTCAAATGAGCCCAGCCATGCCCTTAGTGTATTAAGACAGCTTGCTGCAGGGGCAAACTCATCATACAGTTAACTTGATATATCAAGTCTTAGAGTATAGAAGTAGGCAAAAGAATGACAAGCCAGAGAGAGTTAATATATTTTTATCCTTAGGATACAGGGAGGAGCGCCATTACAGTGAGAAATTGGTAGCTTTGATACTATTTTACCCCCAGGATAGATATTTCTATCAATTTATCACACTAATCTAAGCAAGGTCATACATGTGAGAAATTGTTTTTTGTTTGTTTGTTTTTTAAGATTTTATTTATTCATTTGAGAGAGAGACAGAGACAGAGCATAAGCAGGGGGAGAGGGAAAAGGAGAAGCAGAATCCCCGCTGATCTGGGAGCCCAACGTGGGACTTGATATCAGGACCCCGGGATCATGACCTGAGCTGAAGCAGATGCTTAACCATCTGAGCCACCCAAGCGCCCTCAAGAAGTTTTATTTTTTTAAATAAATTCTAAGTATTATGATTTCATTAACCAGATTATTTTTAGAATCGTAATCCAATCCACAGGTAATCCAGGCTTGCACTTTCCAAATGATATCCACTAGCTTCACGTGGCTATTGAGCCCTTGAAATGTGTCTACTCTGAATTGAGATATGCTATAAATGGAAATACAAACCGGATTTTATGAAAATGGTAAAATATTCATAATTTGTTATAGACATCTCTATAACACAATTTTTGCAATGGGACAATAGTTTTAAATTTTAGAATAAAATACCTTAACTTGCAACTTGATGAATATAATAACAAAGCAACAGTTCAGTAAGGCATTAAGTTCACTATTAAAAGCAATTAGTAAATATTTAATAGTCGTTTTGTTTTCTAGGCCCTATCTGTAAGTTATTCATTTACATTTTGTTGTTTTATTTCTCACATTTCCTATGTGGTAACTACTGATTTATTCCTTCTTTCATACAATCATATGCTACTGTATCTTCAATAACTGATTTAAATTCTATTAAAATTAACATGACTATGAGAAAATTCTTGTCCATCATTTTGTTTCAATAGGCCAAAGTGAACCACAAACAAAACTTGACATATACCTTGTTACCAAAGAAAGAATAACAATTGGTACAAGGGAAAGAACATGGGTCTTAGAATAAACAGACCTGGGTTCACTGCCACTCACAATGTGATCTTAAGTTGGATACTAAGCCATGTAACCTGTTTGAATTCCAGTTTCTTCATCCAGTAAAATGATGAATGCCATCTCTCAGGAATATCGTTAAGAAGCAAATGAAATAATGTACGTACATTTCTAACACCGTAGATAGATGCTCAATAAAACATAGCTGCGAATATTTTTATTATTCCTATAGAATGCAGTCAACCTAAAAATTATCAGGAAACAAAAACATAAGTTAAAAGTGAAAAGGTAAGTTAAAGGAGAGACCTCACTTCATCTAGTCAGCAATTCGGTTTATTAATGGATACGGACTTATCTGCCAGGTCACTTAGATGGAGGGTGGTAATGAGAGAGCTTCCCTGCCCGGCGGTGAGGGTGGTCTCTGGGAAGCTTAATTTTTTTGTTGTAATATAATAACATAATATTATATTAGCAGCTAACACATTGATCACTATACTCCAAGTGCTGTGGTAGACATTTACTTACATTTACTTTTATTTACAATAATGAGCAAATCTGTATATCCCTAGATGCCATGGCATAACACTGTCTTTTCCTCCTAACTAGATATTTGGCTTACATTAAAGAACTAAACTAGGGCACCTGGGTGGCTCAGTCAGTTGAGCATCTGCCTTCGGCTCGGGTCATGATCCCGGAGTCGCAGGA